GACAGGTGCTGATGTCGGAGTGGGGGCAGAGGTCAGGGCGGGTCAGAGGCCAGTAAGATTTGATTCAACTTAGCCTACAGCACGTTTCCACACATGGTCGTAGAAGAAGAGGAGAGGTGCATACCGTGAGATAGGATAAGTTTAAAAATAACACTTCTACAGGAAACTTAAAACAAACAGTGATGGTGAGCATGATAAGCGGCCTCCCATGGATGCAAATGAGAGGTTCTGGAAACAGTTGTGGTCTTTCCCCGGCGACTGTAACCTTGAGGCACCATGGGTCCGTGAATATGACCATGCAATGCATGAGAAAGTAACTAGGTCATTTGTCTGCTACATCTCACCAGATTGCCTGAAAAGTGTTATCAAAAAGTCCAAATCTAATACAGCTCCAGGGCCTGATGGCATTCGAAACCGGTACTGGAAACTATTTCCCTGTGTCCAAACACCATTACTTCACTGTTTCAATTCTCTCGTGGACACAGGTGATGTTCCTCCACGGTTCTGCAAAGGTCGAACAATACTCCTTCCCAAAAAAGGAGACTTGACTGATCCCAAAAACTTCAGCCCTATCACATGTTTGAATAGACAATACAAATTATTCACAGGGTGTTTGACAAACCTTGTGTCATCATACTGCTCTGCTAATGATATTATTTACAGAGAGCAGAAGAGAGCAAGAAAGGGATGTTGTGGTGCAAGGATCAACTTCTTGTACAGAAAATGATTTTGGAAGAGGCTAAAACATATCACCGCAACCTCTCTATATGCTGGATTGACTACAAAAAAATATACGACTCTGTCCCTCATGAATGGATTCTGAAGTCTCTTCGTTGTATTGACCTCCCTGAGCGACTACTTGATTTACTAAAGTCTTTAATGAGTTGCTGGTCGACTCAACTTGAGATGTACTCGCAAGGGCAGGTGCAGACTTCAGAATCTATTCCAATCAGAAGGGGAATTTTCCAGGGGGACTCCTTCAGTCCTTTGCATTTTTGTTTGTCTCTAAATCCTTTGAGCTTTCTGCTCAACAGAGAGGAGGGTTACCATCCCGGACCTCCTCAGCACAGATCCCCAACATCCCCTTTACATGGATGACATCGAGCTCCTTGCCAAAGGAGATACCAATTTGAAAGAACAGGTTCTCCTTGTCGAGTCCTTTTCTAATGATATTGGAATGACATTTGGACTCGACAAATGTAACACTCTTCATTTGAAACGTGGCAAGGTAGTTAATGGTGGATCGGTCAAGTTACAGGGGGGGAGGAGTTATTGAGCATCTTGTGGAAGATCAGGCCAACACCTATGTTGGAATGCAAGTTGAAGGCAAGCTCCAGAGTGCCCAAATTCAAGACAAACTTCGGGCTGAGTACAAATCTTGCTTAAAAAACATCTGGAGCTCAGAGCTAAATGCTCGAAACAAGGTCAAAGCCACCAATACTTTTGCTGTGCCAGTCCTTTCCTATTCCTTTGGAGTAGTTGATTGGACAAAACAAGACATCCAGAGTCTTGACCGCCTGACCAGAAGAATCATGTCTGATAACAGAGCCCACCAACCTCGTTCCTCTCTTAATCGTTTACATATGCCAATCAATTCTGGCGGTCGGGGTTTGATTAATGTGGAGGCTCTTCATGATAGAATTTTATTGTGTACTATAAATAACATAATATATACATAAAAAGTTTATAGCACTAAAATAAGCAACTTAAATAACATAATATACAATAGCACTACAAATGTCCATTTCCTTATGAATTAAATTAAATAATACAAATAATATTTGGTGAAAGCAAAATCTACGGGCAACAAAGATATACCAGAACCAAGAATCACAATCTCACCAACTTCACACAATAGTAGGCATTGTCCAGGTACTCCATCAATGTCAGGTCGTTATTTGCAAGCATGAACTTCAAATCTCTGAACTTCTTCTCTTCGGGGGCAGTACTTTCATTGTACTGAAGCATCTTTGCCTCGTTCAGTCCTTGTTCATCTGCCAAGAACTTGGCCATCTCGAAATGGTTAGGATGTTGTTTTCCCACAACCTTCTTCAGATGGCCATGCCAACCCCCAAGGTTGTTGTTTGTGCAGGGACCGTCAGTATTTTTGGTACAGTTGAAAAGATTCACCTTGACTTCGTTGTGTACAGGTCCATGGTTGTGGTCTCCAGGTATTTGGGAAATTATGTCGTTCACTGTTGAGACTGATATGCAGTCTTTCTGGATGCATCTCCACGAGATCCATTGTCCCCTTTTCTTCTTGTTCACAATAAACATATAACCATTTACATATATGTATGTTCCACCACGAGAAGTAGGAAGAAACCTATTGTGCATTTGCCATAACTGAAGTCGTGGAAATGATGATGAAAACTTTAAAGGTCACATGCAACGTAAAACACAACTTTGCAGATTCTGATACCTTTCGGTATGGACTTACCGAAACAAATCGTCAAAAATGCAAATTCAACTTATAAAGTTGAAAAATAACGCGATGAAAAAAAACGCGCGAAATCGGAGTTCAAACGTTTCACTAATTTCCCCCCGACTTTTCTGGGGAAAACGGGTTTCAACAGCTGGGCTTCGCTCATAGCACGTGCGCAGTGAAGTAGGTTCGTGCAGCTTGGAAGCGGTTGTCTGGTGAATACTCGGTGAAGGCTTTGGTGTGAGCTATTTTTCTAATGTTTTGTTGATATCTCACAGACGCGAGCATTTTATATGTTATGACAGTAAATTAACTGTTTATATAATTTCATTTGTCTATTTCACCACACGTTCTTCTTACCGAGTCACTTTCTCAGTTCGATACTTAAAAGCAATGTCATTATATAGCGTTGACAGAATTTCCTACTGTGATATAGATATGTCGTTGTCACAGACTAAACTTCAATGTCTTGTTTTATTGACACCTGTGTGTCTGCCTGCCTGTCTGCTAATGACAATATTCAATACACAGCTGCTATCACTGACCACATGCAATTTGAACTTAACACCAATCAGGCTATACACCATAAACAAAACGCATTGATTTATGGCCCGAGTTCGGTCTCTGTCACATTATGTCATTACACAGACAGGCAGGTGTGATACTTGAACACATGACATGTTATGATGTCTGTTGATTGCAAAATGTTATACACAAAAAATGAGCATGTTTTTACAAAACCCAACATCTCTATATATACACACACAATGAGCTGTGAGGGCGGCATCTGCAAATGAATCAGCCGTTACACTTGAGTGCACACCCACCCGCTCTGACTGGGTTCGGTATCCCGGCTGCTTCGTTTCGAGGGAGGTAAACCCAAGTACAAAATATTGCACTTTTGATTTGCGATTATACGCTTATAATTTTGTTTATTTGTTTTTTCATAATCAGCAATGCATATTATATGTCATGAAGAAGTGATAATTGTGTTTTAATTATGTTTGATTTTTTGGTTGCATGTGACCTTTAAGTTCCAACATTCTTATAGCATGCAAGTTTATGTAAGAAATTGAATAACTCACTACTAATGAATCGAGTGAACTAAACTCACTCACTATTAAAACCCGCTGGTTCACATGCCAACCCGCTGGTACAAATGTCATATTTTGTTGCCTGAGTGGAAACAGTTTACATTTTGTAGAAAACCAGTGTCTTAATCCCTTAAAACAACACCATTGTCATAACATTACACATCAAAGGATTTTTACCTCAACCCAAAGGTTGAACTTACTAAGTTACTGGACAACCCATGGTCATATGGTCAACCTGGGAAAGTCACATGCTGTGCATGAGCTTCCATTGTCTGTCCTATATCAGTATATGGAGCAGGGTTATATTTGGGCAAAGAGATCAGAGAGGCTGGAAACTTTGTTTCAGGTTGTCTCCACTTCACGGTCGAAAGGAAATGAGAATGTGCATAATGTGAGACAGAAGTAGTTTGAAAATGTTCTTCAACAGATAGATGAGTGAAATGGTTATATTTTCTGTTGGATCTGGATGCCATGTTAATGTTTTGATCTAGACACGCTGAATGTTTCCATGAAAGAAGATACATGAAAACTGGGGGATACTGCAGATCCAGATTTTTCATTAAATTTTCAGTAACTCAAGACAATATGGTAGAATATCAGACTCTAGATGGAGTCAAAATGAATATCTATAAGCCATTATGTGATCACTTCTCACACAATGAAAACAAGTGAAAATTCTCTATTATATAATAATGCAGTTTAAAGTCTATCAAGATATTTTGACAGTGTCTGATTGTCATCGCAATCATTTCAACCTAAATGTTACATGACTTCTGGAATGTATTGTTTACATTACAGGGACCCAGTTCAAGTCGCTGCAAGTTCGAACGCTTTCAAGTTTCAAGTTTAATGCACAGCTGCATAGAGACAAGTACCAGATTTGAAAGCCATATGACAATGCCAAGCAACATATCTACTACAGCTGAAAACTTGGATCATGTCTCACAACAGAGATTAATGAAATAGTAGTTTATCGACTAGTTGAGTGTTTTGCTAGTTTTGACATTTGTAATTTGTGATGTCCTCATGATATATTTCCACTTAACCTTGTATCCAAGCTCTGGTATATATCTTGTTATAGTTTTTGACTGGTGGCAATGTCCATTTATTTTAGTATTTTTTCCATTTGTAATTATCAATCAGTGTTTGACCATTCCATTACAATATCTAAATATGAATCACTGAAGTGCAACGGGATTGTGCTTGTCATTTACTGGCAGCCCAAAAACATTTCTACACACCAGGAGCAAATGGGTGAGCAACAATTTCAAACTGGAACTCATCAACATCAATGCTTTTTACTTTTTACAATCCATGACTAAACTTATCTGTATTTACATATTTATGAAGGTGGTATCAGTTGTCCCACAGGTCAAGCAACATGTGCAGGCTCAGAATGACAAGTCCACACAGTTAGTGTTGAACAATTAAACAATATTTTACTCTTTCCTGCTCTGAACAAACTGATTGTGCAACTGTACCTCTCTAATCCTATTGTTGACAGCTCTCAATTCCATCAGCATGTTTCTCTTCTCAAGTTCCGCCTTCTGCTTGTCTTCAATAGAACTGTAAAAGTACAAATTAGACAAAAGAGTCATATGCACATACATATTTATACCTCAATTTCATTCTTTTATCCAATACACTTTTTTTTACACATTTTCTACACTTTCTAATGTTGCTATCTTAAGAATATTAAAGGAACAATATGTCAACCATTCTGAAACACAGTTAGCCTCAAGGACCATACATAACAGTACTTTAATATTCGGGTGAATGTAGATTGCCTTCCTTGAGGCAAGCTATAAGGGTGCTTGTAGATCTGCGGACATGCATAAGGCTGTACTGGGTAAGATAATGATAGAAGGCGGTGGTTACTATAAACTGTATATTCAAGTAGGGACTTGAAACAGGGACTGCAAACTGGTTCAACTGACAACGTAACAACAAAGTATGATCTCAGAAAAGTATATGACATCACTGAATGTCACAATGGAAAGGTCAATCTACAATATGACACCACTGTCACAGATTGAATTTCAAGCAAATATTGTTTGAAAATTGGTCAGTTGATCACACCATTATTGCTCTTGAGAATAGCTTTGACAAGTTTGTCATTTCCATTTATAAGACTTTTGAGAACTGCTACTTTCCAATTGATTCTTGGTGAGTTGTTGTGACATCGCCCATTTAATAATTTGATTGTTATCAGCAGTGGAATTCACAAAGAATGTCAGGTACTCATTCTTCCATCGTTGCCAGAACTGTTGGATGATCTGACTCTGTAACTTTGAGCTAGAGTTTTTCTGAGGTAACATATGAAAAGAGAGCTGTAGTTATTTGTGTTCTGTATAATAGGTGAGCAGGTGGCATTTCCTGCATGCTCACTTTAGGCAAAGTAGCTGAATCATGTATGGTAAACTTCCAAACTTACGACATGTTTTTGTTTGTTTGTTGTTTAACACCGCACTCAGCAATATTTCAGTTATATGGCGGTGGTAATCAAATCTGGACAACACAATCCAGTGATCAATATTATGAGCACTGATCTATGTAGTTGGGGTACGATGACATGTGTCAACCAAGTCAGAGAGTTGCTGCTTATGACAAGCATGGGGTGCTGAAGACCAACACCACTATATATGGTAAAGATGTTCATAGGATGATCTCACACTACAGTAAATGTATGGTTTGATAGTAGCGGATATGGAAAATGTTTTAATTTACTAAAAAATGATTTAGGACTTCTCTTCCCACAATGAAGGAAGTTTGAATGATCTATGAAAAGCCTTTGGTGTCTTTGATGTCAGTATGTGGATTAGCATTCCCCCCCCCCCCCCAAGATGGACATCCGATATCTGCTTGTCAGTGGTCAAACTTGGAGACGTTAAAAGGTCATCAGTAGAGGTAGAAATTCAAGTAAGGAATGGAGCATGGATTAAGTTCAAGACATCGATAACAAAGAAATCAAGCCAATTAACCTTGCACCTGTTGTGAGTTGAGTTCATGGGAAATTGTACAGTTCACACAAGTTATATCAACCGTCTGTGGAAATATAATAAAGAGGGAGGACAGTGTTGACAAGTTTTTATTACATCAGTGGACTAAAAGTCTTGTGAAACTGAAGATGCATAAAATCAGGAGTTAGACTATGGGAAACCATTAATGTCTATGAATAGGTTCAAAATAAGGACAACCATGAATGACAACTCAATGCGTCCTCACAGAAAAACATGGAAAAACTATTAATAAAAGCACTATTTTAGTTGTGCAAGGTTTTGAAGAGAAAGAAGAAATTCAAAGTGATTTGCCCACAGGAAAGGACACTTTGAGAATAGTCATCTCTTTGTCATCCACAATGGAATTGGAACTGAATACCATTGATATCAAGGTAGCCTTCCTTCAAGGGAATCATATCAATCAAGACCTGTACTTGCAGCCTCCAGCAGAGGCTGATGTAGATAGAAAGAACAAGAAGACATAGTTGTCAATATTAACTGCCTCAGTGTTCTGTTCCTATTCGATTCCTGTATTTTAACTGCACCACAACATTCATGTCCTGAAAACACACAACACGGTTTCTGTTTCGAACTCCATCAAGGCACTCATGTCCTGAAAACACATATCAAATTTGGTTTCCCTATCTATAACAGTTTCTGAGAAACTCTGTCCCCATTTGGATACCATGCACTCAGTCAAGAAACGCATGACAAGGGCCATAACTCTATAACAAATTGTAACATAGTTTCTCTTTCGAACTCCATCAAGGCATTCATATCCTGAAAACACACACCAAATTTGGTTTCCCTATCTACAATGGTTTTTTAGAATGTCTGTTCCCCATCATCTTGGACTGATGGACGGAAGGACGCCCTATATCGCCCTCCCACTTTGTGGTGGGGGATCGATAATTAGCATTATGCTTCAATAGATGGTGTACCTCCTAAGCAGCAGTTTTTGATAAAACAAAACTTCTTGGTCTAGAACAATTTGAAACTATAATATGAAATTATAACTATACATTGTATATTTATATACTTATCCTATCTCACATTTGTACTCTCTCTCGTGTTCGACAGCTGTGTAGAAACGAACTGTAACTAAAGTTTTTGGCCTCTCTTGTATTATTTGCCCGCACACACCACTGATGTTTCCATAACTGGACAGTCTGGCAGCTCCTAAAAAAGCATGCAGCTTGTCCTCTGATTGATCATGTGATCCCTTTGTGTAGTCTTTCTCGTCTTGGAGCAAATAGTCGTAATCTGTGTAGCGGGGTAGGTCAGAGGATTCCATTGTGTGAGATAGGATAAGTATATAAATACAGTCAAACACTGTTGTATATAAATACAGTCAAACACTGTTGTGTCAAACTTGTCGGGACAAAGGGAAAATTTCTAAATATGCAAATGTTCGACACATCTGCCAGCATAGAAATGAACAAGTACCAACACAACCAAAGTGCTCAAAAACATCGTTTTTCTACAGTAGACTATATATACAAAAAATATATCTTTGCAATAAATGTTTACTGCTGTACTGATCATTAAATTCAAATACATATATAAAAATGTCAATTAATTCAATCACTTTATTTGTCATGACAAATAAATATGCATACAAAAAAGATAACAATACATGTAATTTAACAAACTCACAAGCGATCCCATTTAGTTGACACCACTATTACACACACACAAAATCGGAACCATCCTCGATAATCTCCAGGGTATACGTTATGATCACTCGGCTTGGCCCGATGATTTTATTTCCCCCCTTGGCTGGCTTTTTATCCAATCAGGTGTCTACGCTGGGAAGTTGAGCGAACCAATCAAAACTCACATTCGCTTCTTAAATTATCTAACCGTTTAAACTTAGCAACACAGTTGATGGATGCAGATGTACTCTGAAAGAGGTAGAAGGAGTTCTTTCATATTTTTTTTTTAAGTTTCAGATCTGTCAATTTGTCTGTATGATTTCCCAAAAAATATGAGTGGTACTGCAAACAAACCTTCACGACTGCAACCGCTATCTTTGTTGCACTGGCAAGCTCGGATGTAACGGCGGCTTAGCTGATTGGCTACTGTGAGAATGCTGAGCCAGCAAAGGGAGGTAATATAATTATCGGGCCAAGCCATGGATGCATCCAGGGTAATAGTGGAGAGTGATCGTAACGTATACCATGGAGATCATCGAGGATGAATCGGAACATGCAATCCAGTTATCCCTCTGGACTGACCGGGTCCTTTGCTGAATTGCTCTGCCATGTTACTAATCGTACTGATTACAAATTTTGATTTTACATCTTAAATATTAAACCAAAAACAAAACATCAATTTAGATAATCCAAATCCGTTTTACTCACTTTTCATTTTGTATTCACAAGGCAATCACATGACCGCTAACGTAGATGGTCAAGTAAGGTTAATTGTGTGAGAAATAAATCAATTGGTAAATGTGATGACAATGTGTGTATATAGATGTGTAGTTAAACATGCCACTTGATTGTTGAATCCGTTAATCCTCACTTTTGATCTTTTGCTAGTACATTTATTAGCATGACTTTTGATTGTGTTCAGTTGGAAGAACCAACTGTGATATTTCGAGACAAAAAGGTATATTTGTACTTATTAAAGCTTTTGGGGACCCTAAAATGATTAGACACAACCGGGAATTCATTACATTTAGTTCGAGACATCAAGGTAAAATTAATGATAAATATAAGCAAATCGGCGGGTTTGACACAACCGAGAATACGTTTCATCCGAGTTCGAGACATTTGGGTTTGACTGTATACAATTTATAGTTAAAATTTTCAAATGTTTAAACTTGTCCTGTCTCACGTTCTGTATTTATTCCACGGTTGGACAGTGGGCCATGGATGACAACCGTGATGATGGTGATGACGTTACACAAGGAGGCCGGTTATTACTGCAATTTGCAGATTGACTGCATAGATCAATTTTGTTGGGATGCTTCTCTAAACCCCAACGCACAAAACTCCCAGGGAGTGGGCGCTCCCAGGTTTACATGGTTTTCATACTTTATCATTTGTCAGAGGACAAATGACGGAACTGAGACAGGTTTCCCTGCTTCGCCCCGATTTCCAGAAAGCCCTAGTAAACTCTTGTAGTTAACTGGGGCTTTCTGGAAATCAGGGCAAAGCAGGGAAACTTGCGACTGTAGTCTGGCCAGCTATTGCTTCGAAACAATCCCCCGCGATCACACATAAAGGTGTAAGGCAGAATGGCTCAGTTAGCTCATATGTTTAACGTTCAGTTCCAAACGACATCAAATGACTCTTGCTCCATTGCTTAGCTTGATCAAAGATGTGTCCAGCAACCAGGAGCAGAACACATCAAAATCCACAGGAATTAGGTATTCATACTCCACTGATTGTTGGTTAGAGTAGAGGTCAATGAGTATGTGTGTTGATCACCTCTCCAGCGGCTACTGTACTGCAATGCCCCAGTGTCGTTATAGGTGAGGTAGATCTGTACCCAAGTAAAAGTAGAACCCAGATAAAGTCGAATGAATACACCTTATTCACTTTTTCAATGTAACAGTGATTCCATGGACAGAGGATGTCACTATCTGCGTTGTCGGCCGAGGACAGCTGCTGTGCCAGTACCAAAGGACAAAACTGTTGGAGTCCTTCTACGTCTGTCAATGAGAGGTTGTGTTGGTAGTCACTAGTGGGAAGCAAAGACCGTCTCTGATTTCCAGAAACATCCCTACATAATCAATGTCAATGAACAGTTGCTGTGCAGAGCCATTGTAGATGCCAGGGCCCGAGCCTCATGATGGTTCGACACAGCTGGAGGGGGACGCCCGACCAAGGTGTAGGTTTGCAGGATGGTTGATCTCATCCAGAAGACCCAACGTGGCACGGGAGACTTCCACTGAAGAAGCCGTTGACAGTGGGATAAACAGATGCTTATGTAATCTGCGACGGTCTTGCAAGGCAGTGATGTATATCTTCAGTGCTCTTACTGGGCAGGGTGAGAGATCTTCTGTGTCGTCAGGCCAGAGTATGGTGGTGAACGGTGGTATAGTGAAGAATCTATCTGGTTTCCTTGGCAGTTGATTTTTTCGCTATGAAGTCCAAACGAAGACCCAGGAAAACCCTTGCAGAGATTCTCCCTCACAAACTGAATTCAGTTAACGTCCAGGGCATTGAATTCCGACATACAAGCAGTAGGAGCCAGTGCTACCAGGAAGAAAGTCTTGATCTGATCCAGCATAGTCTGGAATTGTTCGTGTGCAACTGCCATAGCTCCCTGGATGTGTGCTTGTTCTTGAGTGGAGGTGTGGGCGACTGACATAGCTTCCGCCTCTGTAGCAGATAAGATGAGATTGGTAGCAGGTAGGGTTCTCCAGATCGTTGCATCTAAATGTACCAGTTGCCGATCTTCGATGAGGAAGGGAGTGTTGTTCCGTTTAGGGTAGAGTATGAAGATGTCTTCATGCATAGGTGGGCAGTGAGTGAGTTTAGTTTTACGCCGCACTTAGCAATATTCCAGCTATATGGCTGCGGTCTGTAAATAATTGAGTCTGGACCAGACAATCCAGTGATCAACAGCATGAGCATCGATCTGCGCAATTGGGAACCGATGACATGTGTCAACCAAGTCAGCGAGCCTGACCATCTGATCCAGTTAGTCGCCTCTTACGACAAGCATGGGTTACTGAAGATCAATATTCTAACCCAGACCTTCACGGGTCGCATAGGTGGCGAGGTGACCGGGGTTGCGAAACCATGGACATGCGCATCCGTCAGAGAGACTTCAGGGTTGAGATGCTATCCATGACCCTCTTTAGATTCTTGAAGTCCGTCTCAAGGAACCCCGCTATTAAGAGTTATGCAGGGATGAGGAGGTAGCATGATAGTAGATAAATCCCACTCTTTCATGTAGAAGGTAGACAACAGGTCGTCTGAAGTCTTGCTCTTGGACAAATGCAAGTTATCAGCTATGCAGGCCAGCATGTGCGTCATATCCATGAAGTCAATACTGAACTTCAGGAGTGGATAAGTCCTCTGAATATGTGGGTGATGACGTAGAGGTTCGATAACCCTTGCTGGTGAGATCGCCGAACTTGGAGGTTGGACTTGAGGACGTTGATCTGAAGGTGTTTCTGATTGCTGCATCTGCTTCCAAGCTACCAACATAGCTTGCACCATCATATCAAAGTCAATATTGGAGTGAGACTGGGTATCTTGGGAATGATCCCACGATACAGGTAGAGCCAGCTGTGTCGGTCTGGTAGCTTGCGACGTATGGGTAACTCTATCACTGAACGGCTGCTGCCTATGGGAGGTCATACAGATGACTGGGATCGCCAGATCTGTAGGGATCGCTGAAGAGATGAGGTTCATCAAACCTATAGGAAGGTTCGGAAGATGGGGTGCAGTAGCCAAGTCTAACATGTTAGAACGTGGGTCGGGAATCAGCAGGTTCGACGAAGGTAGGTCGTAAGAACTGGACGATTGTGCAGCCGAAGTCTGTGCCGTAATAACCAATGGTGGGTGGTTCGTAGATGGGATCGCCAAACGAGTTGAAGTCTGACGTCTGGTCACATGCAAAGGGATCGTCGATGCATGAGGGATCGCCGAATCTTGCTGGTTCGATGAATCACGAGGACCACCACCACTCAAGATGAGACAGATGGTGTGTTTTTTTGACAAACCACTGGAGGCGTCCAAAAGATGAAATACATCAAATTCTCACGTTAATAATAGTCAGAGGGCGTGTCCAGAAAATCTACATGCTCAGAAATCAAAGAGGAAGCCTTGTGTGCCTTCTTAACAGGTCTTTCTTTCTTCGATCACTCAGCTAAAGTTGGGCCTGATTCTCCGTGAGGCTCTGGGACCCCACCTTCCTACAGTTAGCAAAGTTGTCCTTGTCGAATCGCAAAGACCAATGCAGTCTATGCAGAATGCGTGTGGGTCCAAGATGGAGAAGGTCTTCTTGCAGTCCACACAAACTTTTCTTTTCCTTGATGTTGAATGTTCTTTCCCCATGATGTTAAGGGTTTTTTAAGTCAGTTTATTTGCCAGTTTACAGCACGTCAGCACCCTATTGTGACAAGAGTGCCAATCACATTTCAACCTTTGTTGCTATGGCAACTTGAAAATGTAATCTTCAATGCAAGATGAGGCCAAATGGCTGAAAATATCCCTTTGAAAATGATCGTCATCTCATGACGGAGTCACATACCAAATATGGAAGCTATTGGTCGATACTATGCCGTTCTCCACTTGAAATAGAAGGGAATCTGATTTCAGACCTGTACTACAAATTTCGATTTCATTGGACCAGTAGTTTCGGAGATAATTGGACTTGAAATTGAATATTTATAAAACTCATTTTGAATTATCTACCATTTGTCCTTGAGCCTAGCACATTGAGATTTTGTGGCAATGGCTCCAGGAACAGGTGCACATTGTTGATATTTGTGAAGAGATTCTGACCACTGGTTCTTGAGAGTTATGATTGGAACAAAAACGGCAGAATAATAATAATAAATAATAACAAATTGAACAATTACAATAGGCATGGAGCCCTACTAATGATATGACAAGCATAGTTTAGGGTATAAGTTGGTTTAATTAAAAATGAATTGTTGGACTTTGAAATATAAATCATGATTATTTAGTTAGGGCTTTGGTTATGTACAGGTTAATCATGATTTTGTCCATCAATTTTGTCTCAATGTAGAGAAAGATGCATTGCAAGTGGTAAACCAAAAATAATCATACCTGGTATATTTCTCTTCTTTTCGCTTAAGCTGGTCCTTAGTTTTCTCTAACAGAACTTCTGCATTGCGTCGTTTCTCTTCCTCCTCAGTAATGTTGTATCTGTATCATATAAAAAATGAGTTAGTGTAGGACATGGAATTATCTTTCCACTTAAAGGTGTAGAAATTAATACATGTTTATGTGAGTGACTTCTATCCAGTTTTGGTCATATTCTATGTCATCATTTATAAAATGAATACAAACAAAATTCAAGCATCCACAAATTGAACACTGGGTGTTAAGGGAACGGAGTGGAGACATGTTTAATCCTGTGACTGTTCATCTCAATGATTTTCATCCAATGTTCGTCATTTCAATTATTGCTGGATTTTAGACCATTCTTAATGAGGCCTCATGAATATTCATATCTACATCAAAACAAGGCTAAATTGGGTAAGGACACATTTGCATAATGGCGACAAATCTCAATGTACTTCCTGGTTTCACTTTTCCCTTGCACAGTACATTAAGAAACTGTCCAGTAGTTAAGGAGAATTGCTGAGAAATGGGAGAGGGCTACAAATACTTTTTTGAAGCATATCCACGGACTGAAGGGTGAGTAATGAGTGTTCTTCATGACACATCACGATAAGTCATATGACCTAGACATCTAGGTCAACGTTTACCATGTTGCACAGCAGTTATGAAGGGAAGCCACTCTAAAGTCACAATAGTGGAAATATTACCAAGGCAAGTCATTCACGTTTACTTTATCAACATATGAACAAAGCAAAAGACTCAACGTATTTTGTGACCTGGATTCAAATCATCCACTTCCACATGGGAGTAGTGTTGTTATTTCTTGAGCTGGATAATTCAGATCATAACTTGACATAAGTAATATATGCAGATCAAGATAGCTCTCCTCGAGTGGATATGGACCAAACAAATTTGTATTATTCATGTGATAAAATTATTTGTTTGGTATTTTTTCTGTTTAAAATGTTTTGCCCTATCGAATCAGTTTTATAGATACAGGCTATTAATTCACGCATTTATTTTCAGTTGTACCGACTGGTGATTGCGATGTGCACGTAACTGCGTGATACCAATCGCAGAGGAATAACAAATCGCCACATCATCATTTAGAAACTATTTATATCAATAAACATGAGGGGGACACAAAGTGCAAGACAAAACTAGATGATTTTTTTTCAAGTTCTTTCTTGACTAAATTGTAGGTGAATAATTATTTTACCTGAATGGACTTATGATACCTGCATGGGGAATACAATATTTGAAACTATCGTCAGTACTGTGTTACTATACCATTAAATTGATTTATTGTAGCAACAGAGACTCCTCTTTCGTGAAATCAGGCCGCCTCTTCTTCATTTTGTCCGCCATGGTATCTATTCGATGCTGTTCGTGTATCGTCTGGGCTGTCCGGGAATTTCCCCCGAGGATGTTTTTCTGTCTCTCAGTTAAAAGAGTTCCACTGGCAGGTGAGGTGAGGTGAAATTGGGTTTAACGTCGTGCTTGACAATATTTTGCTCATATGACGTGCATGCGTGTGTATCTGTATGTGCGGCTGCTTGTACTAGCCCAGACTGAAGCTGGTTTTATAGTGCTAGCTCACTGAGATATCAGCATGAATACCCCACTCAGACACATTATACTGACTCCGAGCCGACCAGTTCTTGTTGTACCCATTAATGCCGAGCGCCAGGCAGGGACCAACAAGTACCATATTTTAACGTCTTTTGGTATGACGCGGTCGGGGATCGAACCCGCGACCTTCCGCTCTCCGGGCGGATGCTCTAACCACTACACCACGGAGGCGGTCTCCACTGGCAGGCTAAAAATAACCGGGATAGTCCTAGTGATCACGTTCGGCGAAATCAACTTAGTTTTTGTCGGCAGACATAGCCCGTTTGTGAATACAAACTTAAGTTTTTGACTTGGCTAAGTAAGTTTTAAGAAACTTAAGTTTTTTCTTAAGTCAAAACTTAGTTTTTTGATAAATACGGCCCCTGGTGTATTTATTTTGTACTACTGTAACTGAAAACCTTTTTACGGAGAACATATTATCAGACTAACATACAGGATTCATACAACAGCAACCAATTAACCCAAATAAATAAGGAACACCTGGAGTGCAGTTAATTCAAATTTATTTTGAAATGGTGTCTTAAAAGTGTAGTAACAATAGACACATTCACAATAGCTTCAAATTGTAATACTGATGAATAACAATACAATTTTCAGAAGATGCAAATAGCAAATATATTTGGTGCAATATTTATATTGGTTGATTTTTACACTAGTCTGACATGACCACATGAATGGCAACAATTATAGCTGGATCAATTCGTAATTTATGATAGATTTTCTCCCCTTACACATTATCATAATGTCTTACTTATGAATGAATTTTTTTCAGATTCCCAACCACCTCTTTCCAAACAGTATGAAATAAATTCTTTTTCATCGATTATTAAATAATTTCGCACTGTGAAGTTTACACAGATTTCCGAACGTTGGTTGGTTGAGAGAGCGGTCATGTGATCTAAATTTCAAGGTTCATTTCCCTTGAACCCTTCAAATCGTTCATACGTGTGTAAACATCGTTCATACGTGTGTGAACGTTTTCGAGCCGATCTGGGTCATGTGAACTACTTTCCGGGTTTTCCCCAGGATACTCGCTGTCCAGCTTGACGTAAACAAAATAAATCATTTGCATTCACACTCCTTTTAATGTATACATATCACTTACTTGTTTTTGTATATAACAAAAACACCAACTGAGCACAGTTTTGCAAAAATCTGACTGACCGACAAGTCCCAGCCAGTGCGACCTAATTTTCAAATTTCTGCTATGGTTTCAAGGAACCCCAATGATCTTGCTGCATTTGGTGATAGCAAGCGATCCTGTTTCAAGTCACCCCAATTTGGGCAATGTCACTGGAAGAACGCACATGTCCGTTGTGCAATGATAACTGTATTGAAGATGAATTACATGTTTTACTTACGTGCTTGATGTACCATGACCTGCGATCAGAATTGTTTACCAATGCTTGTTCTATTTATGGTGAATTTTTTAATCTTACCGAAGAGCAAAATTTTGTTTCTTAATGTCAAATTATGAAGTTGCTAGTAGTGTTGCCAAAACCTTATTATCTAGAAGGCGATTGTTGCTGTATAATAGTTACATTGCAATTGTGTATCACGCAAACATTTTTCTGTGACTTTTAGTAGCCTGTATATATATTAGATTTAGTCTCTCATAATTCCATAAGGAATGGTGCATGTGCTTTTATTGATCATTTGTTATTTTGTTATCTTATGTTGTACATGCATTGAGACGTAACAAGAATATCTGTCTGTCATATCTGTCTAGGTTGTTTATATAGGGGATAAAGAGGCTGTGGGAGGCCAGTAGTGAAGTGATATTACACAAGGGATAGTGTACAATGGTTGAGTGGGTTACATGAAATTAATTAGCAAGTGATGATAGGCCTTGAGGATGAAATATCCTTCATCTCTGTTGATAGCAGGGCAAATCTTCTTTATGTGGGCCGCTTCAAGTAGTTTTGGGGTTTGGAAGTCAGCCTGGTTCCTTTCGATGACCTTGGTGGTGTTCCAACTGATGTTGTGGTTTGGGTTGGCTTTCAGGTGGTCAGCTATGGCGGATTTAGCGTTGTTGTTTTTTACTGAGGCCTGGTGTAACTGTTCTTTGATCCTAATGGTGACTGGTCTTGAAATTTCACCAACATAGGATTGGCCGCAGTCTCATTCTATCTTGTAGACGACACGACTCTAAATCCGCCATTGCTGACCACCTGAAAGCCAACAGAGATGAAGGATATTTCATCCCCAAGGCCTATCATCACTTGCTAATTAATTTCATGTAACCCACTCAACCATTGTACACTATCCCTTGTGTAATATCACTTCACTACTGGCCTCCCACAGCCTCTTTATCCCCTATATAAACAACCTAGACAGATATGACAGACATGGGTTAAAGTATAGGTGTTAAAACAACTACCCGCACACTTTCACAGTCCACATGTTCATAAAACTCAGTCAATAATTTCTTCAGAGCCTTCTTTCAAACATCTGCTCTGTTCTCGCGCATGCTCAGTATACGTAGCTATATAATCTTTCCCTACTGACTGTCCATCATGTCCTTAATCTTGTATGTATACAACCATGTACTTCCTCTCTACTGGCTTCCAATCTCCTACTCAATCCTGTATAGTTTCTGTGTTATCAACCTCTTCTATTGTATAAACAACTCATTTTCGCCTCATCCCTCATCTATTGTCCAAACATCTCATGTATATATCACCTAAAATTACTTCTCATGTACCACTTGCTTGACAATGATATTAGAATCTATGTGGAAACTTCGCCAATACAGAATAAAGAAGTTGTATATCCATTAAATTGTCCTGATTCAACATGATGATGAGCTAAAATAACATATATGGGATGAGTGGGATTACCATGACAATTAGTGGATGTAAGTTAATTAGACAGAAGCCAAGGAGGTGGGGGATTAATTAGAGGGAAACCAGTGGTGAGGCAGGTAAATGATAAGCCAGGATGGGTTGTGTGGATCTACTATTTGTGGATTTGGTGGTTGTAAGCTGATGGGAAGAAATACCCATGATCCCTATTAATAGAGGGGTTATAATGGCATATTGTAATGCCTCGGCCAATTTGCGCTCAGTGTAATCATGTTTGTTGTTTGTAAGAGTTTTGACAGTGTCCCAGTTGATGTTGTGTTGAGGAAATTTGGTGATGTGTTCCGAAATGGCTGATTTGGTGTCTGTATTGTTTGTGGATGTCTCATGTTCTTTGATGCGGATATTGAGTGAGTGAGTGAGTTTAGTTTTACGCCGCACTCAGCAATATTCCAGCTATATGGTGGCTGTCACTGTGTGCTGTTGTAAATTCAAATGTAGTTTAGGCGAGTTATTTTGTTTGACAACGTCAAAATTGGTGAACAAACAAGAACCACACCATGTTGATTTCCACTAAGATAGACTTAGGACAAGTCAGAACCTATCCTAGTATTTGTCCTAAGTTAGGATATCCTAGCTCTAGGATAC